TGTGCTTAATTTGCAGGATGAGAAACCTCAAGCTCCGCTGAAGCAGTGCAACTCCATCTACCCACTAGTTAATAAATAAAAGCATCATCGCTAGCTATGCTCCATTTTAATATTCAATGACACTGTGGTCGTGGTATAGTTTTACTCGTTTGTGAAATCACAACCTGTGTGATTCTTCTATGTATGTACTTTCAAGTAGTTTCACTTTTTTTAATTTTTGTTTTCTTGCCGCTATATAAGCTCGTGTGTGTATGTACGTACGCACTTACGTGTGCATGTACCAAAGGCATGTATAATGTACTATGTGATTCTACGTGTAAGATTCAACTAATGGAATATTAATTTATGTGTCATATAATCGTATTAATTTTTATTATGTATACGTGATACGATGGTATTTGGGATGTACACAATCTGATTTGGTTTGGTTTTTATAGAAAATGTCTAGAAGAATAGAATCAAACTAGACCTATGCGATTTCGGTTCAATTTGGCTCAATTTCCAATTTGGAAATATAAAAATATAAAGATGCGAAGAGTAGAGAAATATAATGTATATAAAAATAGGAAACAGAGAAAAATATGTACCAAGGATAAAATAAGAGAGAAAGAGGTGAAGAGATAAATAGAAAGAAATATGTGAAAAAATAGAGAAAGACGGAAGCGCAACAAGAATGGATATAGTTCACCGAAAATAAAAAGAAACTGGGCTAGAGTAGTTATTTAATTGGGTATAAAATTGAACAAAGATATTTTGTTATTAATTGGACTAAAATATCTAGATATTATTTAAAGTTAATGTTATTTGAATATTAACTAGGCTTACTAATAATTTTGGATATAAATGAATAAGTAAACTTAACATAACCGGTCCGATTTGATTTATTATGCTAGATTTTCCAAGACAAAAACGGTCTTTTTCGATGCAGTTCACGGGTTCAAATACCCACCCCTATAAAACACACCCTCCCCTTGACTTAAGTCTTCTCTATTGACTCTCCTCACTCTCTCCTTTGGCTTCCAAATTTTCCCAATTTTTTTTCACACCGCCCTTTTCATCCTAAACCCTAATCGGTCTTTTTCGATGCGGTTCACGGGTTCAAATACCCACCCCTATAAAAGACACCCCTCTCCTTGACTTAAGTCTTCTCTATTGACTCTCCTCACTCTCCTTTGGCTTCCAAATTTTTTCCAAATTTTTTTTCACACCGCCCTTTTCACTCTAGACCCTCCTCCTCCTCCTCTTACCTAGTGTTTCTAAAAACACCATTTTAGTCAACATATTCCTAGTAGAGTAGGGATACCAAATATATTCACTAGATTTTTATTCACCTAATGGTGTGGCATTGTTTGAATGATTTAAATATGGTTCAATTTAAACCTATTTATTACTAACGCGTATCAACACATCATATTTTGAACATAATTGATGACTAGCATTTTAATTCTTACAACTTTTAAAATATTGTCATTTTATCCATCACACCACATGGCGGAGTGATTTTTCCTTCGTACTACCGTAGTATTCTATAATTTCTCCACACGGCTGATAATATTTGGGAAAGTTTTTGGTTTCCAAATTTCTTACTTTGTTAGAAATAATATTTATAAAGAACATGAAACATTATCACACTAGTTGAAGTTCAAAATTTAAGGATTTGAGCAGGTGCATGTATCATTATTAATTATTGAAACAATAACACTTGTGCCACCAAATGATTTTTCTTTTCTTCTTTTAAGTACAAGCGATTGGGGGAGGGGGTTTACACAAATATTCAATGGGTGCATGAGGGTTTCGAACCTCTGTCTACAACGTGAAGGTGGAAGAGCTTAGCCAACTGAGCTATTCCCCATTGGCAATGATGTTATTGTTCTATATGTTGATATATTTGGTTCAATATGAACCTCATTTATTTAATTAAGATATTGTCAAGTGGGGTCTAACTTAGGTGAAAATGGCCTTAACTTACATACTAACTCTTGTATTAAAAAATATATATTGTCATGTCATCCATCACCTAACATCTGTAAAAGAAACAGTACAAAATGTTCAAAATTTTAGGATTTTTGTTGGTGTGCATTATTGATTTTTGAAACAATAACGCTAGAGCCACAAAAACTTTCTAAAATTTTGGTCACCAAATGTTGTTCATGTTTGTATCTATCCCATTCATGTAAGATATTGTCATGTTCCACCAAATCATCATTTGGTTTGGTGAATAACATTTGAAAAATATGTACTTGTTCAAAATGAACCTTGATATGAACAACTGAAATTTGTTTTTGTTATATGTTGCATCACTTATTGTAGAAAAGTTAATACGAGTAGTATATACTATTTCTAGGGTCACCAAATGATATAGCATGTGTTGCAGAAGTATTTTAGTTGCTTTGAATTTCATTAATCTTTAAGAAATAAGATATTAGTGATCCTAATTTCAATAACATAGGTGGTTGTTTGTAGGAAATAAGCGAGTTTAGTAACCAAATATAAACAAATAAGACACTACGACATAAGTTGAGATTCAAAATTCTAAAACACATTCTTATTTTACTCTGTCTTTGATGTCAGTCATTGGATAAGATTTGGAGAAATAGTGGCGGTTAAAAGGGGTTTTAGAAAAGTTATTTTCGAGTGTGATTCTCTACAGATCGTTTCAACTTTTTGGATTGCTGAGGTCACTGGGGAAGTTTTACCCATGATTGCCATATTGCTATTAGAATGGTTTCCTTTATTCTATTTATTCTTATTGATTTAATAAAATAATTCTATCGTCTTTTTATCAAAACAGTTAAAAAGATATTATTTGCACTCCAAAGTAAGCTTCTTGCACTCCCTAGGGCACAAATAACATTTCCCTGTCTTATTGAAATCTTATCATCTCATACCTGATTTGTTTAACAAATTCAAAGCTTAGTGCTCCCTTCACACCCCCAAAACCCCAACTCTCACCAATAAGAAAGGAAACAAAATCGACATCTCTACTGGTTTAAACTGGACCCAATACAAGGTTCCACATATTCTGCCATGAATACATATCCAGCAATAATGGCAGGTAGATTTTAGGGAGGGGGTTGTTCACCTACCACTCGCAGCATAAGAGAGAGATGCATGTGCCTCTGCCTTCGTTCGATTAGCATGTAGTAGAATGTAGGTCAACCAAGTAACCACATCCAAACATGTTTCTTGCCTTATATTAAATACGAAATTAAAAAAACGTTCACTATTTTTTTCACATTCTTTTGTTTAAATCTCTCAACTCATGTGATAAACGTTTCACTTGCTTATATTTGGATCCACTTGAACCTCGTTTAAATCCCAACTCTTTCCTATGCAATTCAATTAACAATTTTTTATTTATCATGAACAGTCTTTTTGTTATTATTATTTATAAAATCAATTTTGATATTTTGTCAACAACATTTCCATACCGACTGGTATTTGCGAGAAAAACTTCTATGGGGGATATTCCTATCATGTAACAATACTCAATGACAAAACAATTTAATTAAAAGGTGGCATGTGTTCAAAGTCGATGATCCGTTTTTAAACGCATGCCATCTTTTAACTGTACTGTTACTCAACACTGTCACATGATAGAAACAGTTTCACATAAGTTTTTTACCATGAATTATAAAGAACGGAGTTCAAGGTTTAATTTATAATTTAGGATTTAGGGACCCTAAAAGGTGTCCTTCAAGAGAAGGTAGCATCATAGCATAAAACTATCAAAGGAAAGCAAAAAAGGTGAAAGATACAAAGCAAATTAAGAGACGAAAATAGAAATTCAAAGATATCGTTTCAAAGAGAAAATTAAGAAAAGAAACAAAGTACACAAGTACCTTAAAGAAGGTGGGGTTGATTTGTAAAGAATGACGGAAAGCTTGTTATCTTGATGCACTATGAGTGACGCAGCCGCCGAAAAACAAAAGTTCAATAGAGAAAGAAATGTGAGATGGTTAGGGGAAGATTAGGGTTTAAGTAGAATGCGCGTAAGTTAGAGTCGGGTTTGGATGAGTTAAATTTATATAGTATGCCCAAAATTCTCCCTATTATGACTCAAGAAAGCCCAAAAGTGATTACGTTTGTGTTTGTATTAAAATAAATTCCGATATGTCAGTGGGGTATAATTCAGTTGGTTGAGCTCTTCTATCTTTACCCACATGGGTAGAGGTTCGAAACCTCCAGACTACCCAATGAATATTTGTATAAACCCCCCTCCCTCAATCACCTGTACTCAACACAACACCACAAAAAAAAAACACAAATCCCCATATTTTAAGATACGTTTGTGTTTCCATTCTCCAATATTCTAGTCGTATCCATTATCCAATGCTGGACGAGGTCCCATTCCATTCCCCCGTCCCTTCTTTTTGCCCTTTGCAATTTGCAAGGTTTCTCTATTTTCCCTTTGCCTTCCACCACCCTTTCCCCCTCTTTTATTTTTTTATTTTTATTTTTATTTTTATTTTTTATATTTAAAAACAATTTATCACCTCTAATGCTCAACTCTGCATTTGGTAGTCCCTACAACCTATGAGGTGAGTTTGCAGTAATTCCTACCAAAATCTAATGGCTGTTATCCTAAAAATAAGACAGACTCGAACAGTTTAGATCCGCCACAGAACAAACTACCGCCGCTCAGGCCCTGACAAATTCTACAATAGAAGACCATAGAGGCCAATGATAGACAAAAACTTCGCCCAAGCACAGCTTATAAATGGGGGGAGAAAATGGTGGCGTCAAGTAGCAGCCCTGCCACTTCACAAGTTTCACAATGATGAAATTTCCCCCCTGTTGAAAGAGCAAGCTGATCGTACGAGGAAACAACAAATGTAGCCCTGTTTTAATCTCAAGTAGGAGGTCAATTTTCTATTTGTTTTGCTACTCGATAATTGATCACTGACCAAATTCAACACTGACTTGGCACATACAGAAAAAAAAAAGAAAAAAGAAAAAAAAAAAAAAAAAAAAAAAAAAAAAAAAGTAGCAAAGCTAAATAGATCACAAGAACATAGTCATAACACTAAGTAATCAGCTTCATAATAGTCACCAGTTAACCTTACAAAGTCAAATTTTCTCGTTCATCAAACTGAAACTGCAGTGCCACAATTTTAACTAATTAACATCAGAAGATATTCTATTTTGCCACTGTGGTTTGAAGGGGCAGAGAACTTTCAACTTCCTTGGTGTCGGAACTCCTCTCAGCGACAATCTTTGACATGCCAAACATCTGAAAATGAACGCACAATAATCCAATCAGAATCAGAAGCAAACCAATTAACCAATGAAAACATTTCTGAACAAGCAATATTAGCATTTAATTTGAAGTGGGAACAAACCTTCTGCATGGTCTTCTTGAAGCAAGTTTTGTGTTCATCCATAGAGGCATGGATAAACTCATCAATATGATCCTTCACATCCTCCAAGAAACTGGCTTGTTCACTCTTCTTCTTTCGACATGAAGTGGTGGAGGGGGTTGCAGCAGCAGGCGATGGCTGTTGTTCATGTTGACTTTTCTGTGATTCCATTCTCACTAACACCTGACCCAGAAGTCAGTCGTTACAAAAGATTTGGATGAGATGATAACAATTGAAAACAATGAAAAGCAATAAATTTAAACTAAATCCCAGGCCTAGCTAGCCACAACAAGCCAACGCAAGAAATTCAGTTATCTCATCAAGATGCAGGGAAGAAAATTGATGCAAATCATTAGCTTTAAGTGAAAGGAAAAACACTTTTCAGGACTATTTTACATAAATTAAAAGGAAAAATAAAAAACTTGGAGTGGAAGTAATTAGATATACGAGCCCTTAGCTCATACCACAACATCACGAACACTCTAGAGCCAAAATGAAATGGAGGGTTCCTTTTATTTATCATGATACTACTATGAGATTCAAAGGTTGTATATCAAATTAGATCACAAATGTCCTCAATGTGTTCATTATTATCACAACCTCTATAGCCACATCTGTGCAACAGGGAGGACTATCTTCAAAAAAGGAGAACTTTCCTTCCATAAGAAAAGCAAACAAAGGAAATCGCCAACTTATTCAGTGGGGTTGGGCTTGTGATGCATAAACAAAACTATTTTACATCTTATTAGAAGTGGGCAATCACAAATAAATTTTTATTTAACATGAAGCACAACTGGTTTTCCCTCATCAATCAAAAAATCAAGAGAGCCTAAAAACCAACACCCATAACAAGGTGCGTGTTCAATTATCAAGACAGTCTGAAATGTTTAGCATTTTAATTTTATGATATCAGACTGTGATCAGGTAGATTTTTGTTGAACACATGGTCCAGATTGACGTCAAAACAGTTCGCAAGCATGTGGACACACACATAAGCATAATACAATGCCACACAAACAAGTTTCAGCTCCACATTTATAAATCTAAAAACCGCACAACAAGTGTTTGAAGTAATGCCACAATGAAGCTATCGCAGAAACACAAAACTACAGAATAATATCTGATTCAAAACTAAGGTAAACGAAAAGTTTTTTCAGCAGAAATTGGTAACAATTGTTTCTAAATCAATGGCAAAGTCTGCTTTCTATGGGTATATAATTGGCACGCAAAACAAATATTAAAAAAAAAAATCACTTATCAGTAGAATAAAAGCATCAAGTTCAGAACCGCACACCTTTGATCACAAAGAAACCAAGTGAAATTGTAAATTGCAAATAGATTGAGAAAATATTTTTTGTTGTTTTGAGGAAGAAGAAAAATAGGGTCTTGTATTTATATCTGGTTGGTACAAGGGGAACCGCCATGAGTTGGAGTATTTTACAAGAAAACGGAGGAGGTCAGAGCCCGTTGCAGGATTGAAACGTGGCACTAAATTATTGGTGGTAAAGTCACAAAGCCAAACGGGGTACCGTCTGCCTGTTGTGCAAGTTTTCTCTTTGGGCTTTCTTGATATCAAGCCCCTTTTGTTCAAGGACCTGGATAATGGTATTTCTCATCAGTGTTGCTATGCACACCTGAAAATTTGATCATCACACTTGGCACCCAATTCTTTTATTTTCCTTAATTCTTTTTAGTTTAATTTTGAAGATAACTATTAGGGTTATAGACCGGTTTTAAGTCCATTGGTATTTCGCTTTTTAATGTCAGAAGATGTCTCAAATTTGAAGCGTTCATTCTCTATTCCAGATTAATAAAGAGAGGGAGAAAAAAAAAAGGGTGATAGGAGCAAGGAAAGTTTGAGAATTTAGCTCGATGCCGAGAAGAATGTTCAAAATTTTGGCTGCAAATAGAATGCTCTTCTTCTTTAATTTTTGGGTAGTAAAAGCCAAAAGCAATATATGCATAGTTCTTTTTTAAATACAAGAAATATCAAGCATATATGGGCTTAGTCAAGTTGGTTAAAGCATATGTACTTCTTACTCTGCACACAATTTCGAATTCCACTCCCTGTAGTTTAGATTAAATTAAAGTAGAATATCATTTGTACCAAAAAAAAAAGAAGCAATTATAAAAATGAAGAATTCAAACACATGATCTCAAATGCAGGTAACTATTCTTAACCAGTAAAGAATCAATAAATAAAGTCATGTGAAGAGTCATTCTATAGTGAGGGTCTTATATGGCCCTTGGGTGATGTCCTATCTCTTAACCGTTGGATTAGACTAACCAATTTAATCAAACGATTAAGAGATAAGGCGTCACTTAAAGACATGTATAAAGCCCTCATTATAGAATGAGCATGTGAAATCTCAAGCAGTAGGCCCATTGTGTGAAATCTCAAGCACCAGTAGGAGGCCCATGTTTTTTTTTTTTTGTCAACATCAGTAGGCCTATTGTGCAAAATATAAAACGCACCAAACATCTTCCGCAAGATTATCCAACCAAAAGATATCACCGACCAAAATCTAAATGATTGAAAACATAATGAGCCATATGATTTCTGCGTTTTTATTTGAACATGAAAAAGTGGTCAACACACTCATCGATTAATGAATTATTATTATGTCATTTGCGTGAACTTCATTTCTTTGCCACTTTGGAACATTGACTTCTGTGAGAAGTTCAACTTTATTAACGGGTCATGTGTCTCCCACATGACAAAGCTGAAAAATGCTGAAAAATGAGAAAACATGAGAAAATTCTTAAGAGAAAAATAAAGTGTTGCTATTTTCACAACCTGTCCTATTTCTCTATCCATTTTTTTTTTATTATTTATAAAAAGCATTAGATTTCTTGGATTTTGTCAGATTTTATGACAACTCGAAAGCATTAGATTCCTTAGATTTTTTCAGATTTTATGATAACTGGAGACGGAGTTGACTCTAAATTATTGTGATTATAGAACCATAATAATAATAATGAGGTAGTGGAGTACGATCTAATCATTTGCCCAAGCATGTGCTTGGATATGGTGGATGATTAGAATTTGACCTTAAATAAAGTTTTCTAGGGCTAGTTGTAAATTTGACTCAAACTTTAATTCTGTCTTTATTGATTTGTTGTTGCTTTTATCTCCATTGGCTCATTCAATCCATTCAATTATTATATATTTAGACTACCGTTATTATCATCCTTAAGTAGATGCATATATGTGCACCAAAGTGACATACTCATAACATCCATATTTTTCAGCAAAGAGCTTGTAGCTCAAGTGGTTAAAAGTAGTTATCTAGAACACTTAAGGTCCTATAATCAAATCGTTCTCCCCTCTCTTGCTTGTATAAAAATTAAAAATAAATTCATATTCTCTCTTTTCTCCACATTATTTATCCTCATTTAGATTTGTGAGTTCCGTTCCTTAACCCGAGCACCGGCTGCACCGGGGTGAAATCGGTTCTAAGCTCTTGCGGCTCTACGATTGCTTAAGTGGCTCTTGAGATGCCTCAAGTGGTGCTTGAAGAACAATAGCAGGAGAGTGCATGCATGGTGTGAGAGCTAAAAGCCATAAGCTCCATAAGCTCCTAAATGTGGGGAAACATAAATTAACTCATTGTGGCTCTCATTGTCATGAATGACTACTATTTCGGTATTATTTAAACAAATACTTTCTTGTTTGGGGATCCTAGTTAGCTAAACTAAGGAGCATGGTTAAATTACAAATGATATATTGAGCTCATAATTTAACTTCATAGTTTTTTAGTTCAAATATTACTTGAAAATAAGGAGCATAACTAGAATTGCTCTTTAGGCTATTTATCATAAGCCGTCAAAGAGATCAAGACGTCCAGAGAAATCGCTTTGAAGCTTCCTCTCCTCTCTCTCATTGTGTTTCTACTCGACACGTCCAATCCCCTCCCATATTTAAGATTCCAGTCACCCCCCAATTTCTTTCCTAAAATTTTATCAATCAATTCTGAATCTTCGACCAAACAGAGACAGAGGGGGGAGGTGTAGCAGAACCAAACGCAAAACAACAGACCAACCCACTCTCTCTCTCTCTCTCTCTCTCTCAACGTCACAATCTTCATGCTGTGCAATTCATTCACCTCTCGTCTATAAATCTCACTTGGTCGCTGTTCTTGTTGTATCAAACTACCAACCCTTCTATTTCTTCACTCAGATCCGTTTTCTTCACCTTCACACTTCACTCTGTTCACCATATATATAACCCTCTGAAGCCCCTCCACTGAAAACCCACCTCAGAAAACCCCATAGTTTCAAACCCAAGTGCCTATTTCGCAGACCCATCATGAGCTCTGAGCCCATTGTCAATGGCGGAGTTCAGATCCACCAGAGCCGTAGATTACCAGACTTCTTACAAAGCGTGAACTTGAAGTATGTGAAATTGGGTTACCATTACTTGATAACTCACCTTTTGACTCTCTGCTCAGTTCCTATAATGGCGGTCGTTGTCATTCAAGCCTCACAGATGAACCTAGATGACATTCACCACCTCTGGCTCCAGCTCCAGTACAATCTGGTCAGTGTCATTATTTTCTCTGCTGTAATTGTTTTTGGATCCACCGTTTACATTATGACCCGCCCGAGATCCGTTTACCTTGTGGACTATTCTTGTTACAAGCCGCCTTCGCATTTGCAAGTGAGATTTCAGCAGTTCATGGAGCATTCGAAGCTCACTGGGGACTTTGACGAGTCTTCACTGGAGTTCCAGCGCAAGATTCTTGAGCGCTCTGGCCTTGGGGAGGAGACTTATGTCCCTGAAGCAATGCATTACATTCCGCCCAGGCCGTCCATGGCGGCGGCTCGCGAGGAGGCAGAGCAGGTGATTTTTGGTGCTTTGGATAATCTGTTTGCTAATACAAATGTTAAGCCTAAGGACATTGGCATTCTTGTTGTGAATTGTAGTTTGTTTAATCCAACCCCTTCACTGTCTGCTATGATTGTTAACAAGTACAAATTGAGGGGGAATATTAGGAGTTTTAATTTGGGGGGTATGGGGTGTAGTGCTGGAGTTATAGCTGTTGATCTTGCTAAGGAAATGTTGCAAGTTCATGGGAACACTTATGCGGTGGTTGTCAGCACTGAGAATATTACTCAGAATTGGTACTTTGGGAACAAGAAATCCATGTTGATACCAAACTGTTTGTTCCGTGTTGGTGGGGCGGCGGTTTTGCTTTCAAACAGGTCGTTGGATAGGCGTCGGGCAAAGTATAAGCTTGTGCATGTTGTGAGGACTCATCGTGGGGCTGATGATAAGGCATTTAGATGTGTTTATCAAGAGCAGGATGATGCTGGGAAAACTGGGGTTTCATTGTCGAAGGATCTCATGGCAATTGCTGGTGGAGCTCTTAAGACAAACATCACAACATTGGGTCCCCTTGTCCTGCCTCTAAGTGAGCAGCTTCTCTTCTTTGCTACTTTGGTTGCAAAGAAGTTGTTCAATGCGAAAGTCAAGCCTTATATCCCGGATTTCAAGCTTGCTTTTGATCATTTTTGCATACATGCTGGTGGGAGGGCTGTGATTGATGAGCTTGAGAAGAACTTGCAGCTTCTACCAGTTCATGTTGAGGCATCTCGGATGACACTCCACAGGTTTGGTAACACCTCATCGAGTTCGATTTGGTATGAGTTGGCTTATACTGAGGCAAAGGGGAGGATGCAAAAGGGGAACCGTGTCTGGCAGATTGCTTTTGGTAGTGGTTTCAAGTGTAACAGTGCAGTATGGGAGGCTCTTCAGAATGTAAAACCTTCTCTTCATAGTCCATGGGAAGATTGCATTGACTGGTACCCAGTGGAGACTGTTGTCTAGCAGAGCTCAGCCAGAATTTGGTCAGGGACTCAATTTAAAGGAAGGAAACATTGATGGATAAATTGGTCTACTTATCCTGTTATTTTTTCTGCCCCCTTTATCAATAATTTTCCTTTTTTCTAATTCTTGATTTATTGGGCATGTGATGTGTTATTTGGTCATTGAAGTCATGAGATCCCTCATTCGCGTAGCTCTAGCACGTTGATGTTTAGATAATTTGTTGTGCCAAATGCAATCGTACTGTGATTACTATGATTTCCTGCAGAGCTTTGGAGGGGAGTGGAAAAGCTAAATGTATATGGATATCATTTCTTTGAAAGAATTTCAATGTATAAGTTCCATTGTAAAAAATATTAGCATTGAGATAATTAAGTGTCATTATCTTTTTCCAGATAAGCATATGGAAGCCAACAAAAGGTATAGCAGTAAATTTTAGTGAATTTTATTTCCAAATGGCTTTCAAACGCTCTCAAGAAACTTCCATATGGCCTGGAATTAGGTTCATGGAAGCCGTCCTTTGTGAACTATGATCAGTCATATATCTGCTGGTCTTGCAAGT